AGATTAAAGATGAAAAGAGGTGAAAAGGAGGTTGTGTAGGGGAAAGAAAAAGAAAAGAAAAAAAATAAACACACAATGATGTACCTCACTTGGGTTGCCTCCCAAAAAGCGCCTTATTTAACGTCGTGGCACGACACCATCTTTTTTAATTTCAGTCGTTTAGGCTTGGATCGTGATGATCCCTCTTCTTCACATTTTCACCCCTGGGACTTTCAAAGGAATATCCAAGTTTTCGAGCCTTCATTTTGAAAATCTTTCCAGGATCAAATATCCGAATTTTCATTGCTTCATGTTGGGAAAGTGAGGGAAAAAATTTCCCATTTAACATGGTCAATGGAAATGGTTTTGCTCCCTCACATTTGTTGAAGAATTCAAAGATGTCATTGTCCTTTATAATATTACGAGTTCCCCTCAAAACTCCCAGAAATGGTGGGGGTACCTCAAAGGATGACAAGGATGAAATTTTGACTTTGAAGCTCGGCTCATCCTCTTCTTTGACCAGATGGAGCACAATGTCTTTTTCTTCTTCTAAATTTTGGGTCTCCTTTTTCATTTCCTTCCCATTTGTCAATGTGACTTCAATAGCTTGTTGTTTAGGACTCTGTTCTATTTGAGAGGGAAGTTTCTCAAAATATTTTGCTTCCGATAGATCCACAACACTTGGCATTTGGTTCACTTGATTTTTCAAGTTTTGTTCGGTGGACCTTGTTTCTTGCGAGATTTGTGCCATATTTTGCTGCATATTTGTCACATTGATTGTGAGAACTCGGATCATGTCTTCAGTGGACATGCTAGAGTGAGAACTCGAGTATGGGTGATCTCTCCTTCCGGGATTATAAGTGTTGGAGAAGGGATCATACCTCATTTGAGGTATTTGCATTTGGAAACCAACATCATCAATTTGTTCAAAGTATTCTTCTTGGAGCTTCGGACAAAAATCAATATCCACAACTACAACTAATAAAAACTAGTTAAAAATACAAACTTACAATCGGAAATTACACGAATATCAATATGGGCAACTAGCGCATAGTTTTTTAAAGCGCTCCCAATATTCGTACAAGGTCTAATCATCTGCTTGCTCAATGTTGCTAATTTGCTTTTTGAGACTTGAAGAGATAGATGCGGGATAATACCTGTCGAGGAAGCTCTTTTTCATTTGAGCCCATGTGTTGATACTACCCGAAGGAAGGTAGAAAAGCAAATCCTTTGCGGTGTCTTTTAAAGAGAATGGAAAGGCCCTTAGCTTTATTTTCTCCTCGGATACACCATTGGGGCACATGCTTGTGCACACAATATGGAATTCCGATAGATGTTTGTTAGGATCTTCCCCCCGTAGGCCATGGAAAGAGGGAAGTAGATGGATGAGCCCAGATTTTAGCTCAAATGTGACCCCCCGTATCAAGAGTTGGAAAAGTGATACATAGGGGTTGTTGATTTAGATTCGGAGCCGTGAGCTCCCTCAATGTTCTTGTTTCATGAGCCATAGTGATTGGCTCTTCGGTTTCGCTAGATTGAGAACAAGCGCTTGATGATTCTCCCGAGTCGGAGTTTGAAAATTTGTTTTTCAACCGCTCGAGAGTTCGTTCTATTTCGGGGTTTGAGTGGTATGTGATTTCGTTCAGTGAACGATATTTTACCATGTACTACAAAGCTCAGCAGAAATAGAAATCTTTATACTGGAACCATATTTTTTCTTTTTCTTAAAATAAAATAAAAAGAAAAATTAATTGCCTCTCCCCGGCAACGGTGCCAAATTTGACGTGCACTTTGTCATGAGTGCACTCAAATTAAATCAATACTAACACTTATACGTAGTATAGGTGAAGTAGAGTTCGTATCCACATGGAAAGGAATAATTCTCTTTTTATGAACTAGTAAATAAAGGGGGTTTTGTTTGTTGAGTGATTTAATTGAATTAAACACGAAGATGAACGAGTTATATGGGATTAAATTCAGGAATAAAAGAGACTTGGTCTTGCTACTTTCCACTTGTTGATATATTTTAGTCGATCATTGTTATATCTATAACTTATCCCCTCTCGAATACTCAATCGAGGAGTATATCCAATTCATCGAGGGTAGTTATTAACAACGACCGTTCATTAATAACCCTTACTATTAACCAAATATAGAACAACGTCGTATACCGATTTAATAGTAGCATTTAACCTCTTTAACTCCTTGATGAAATCAATTGAGATTGATAACCTCAACACAACGGTTTCGGTTTAACCAACAAAATTAATCCTTCTTAAGTTTATTAACCACGACCGTGCATTAATAAACCGAAGTTACTTACTTATGAAACCTTCAACGTTTAACCATCGGTTCGTTGAACGTTTCTAGTAATAATCAATGTCGGAACGTTAACTAATCGTCACTTAGCCACCCTCCAACAATGATATAGAATGAGATTAAGGGAAGAATTAATAATCAAGAGGAGAAAGTAAGAAAATAACTCACAACTTTAATAATCAATCAAGCTTCCAGAGCAAAACCAAGAAATGGAAGTTTAGCTCCTCATTTGGAGACTAAACATGCTAAAAGAAATATAGAGAAATTCTATTCTAAACTGAGCTTAAAAGTATAAAGGAATTGGTAATCTAAAAGTGAAGGAAAGGAGGTGTATTTATAGGCTTTTTGAGGTGCAGGTCGAGTACTCGATCGAGTATGTACATATACTCGATCGAGTATGTACATATACTCGATCGAGTATGTGTAGAACTTCGAATTCGATCCATACTCGATCGATATTCGGGTATAATTTATAGCTATACCCGATCGAGTATGTCGGTGTACCCGATCGGGTATAGACACTCGATCGTGGAAAATCTTCTCCTGCATGTTCCTTTGTTTTCGGATCCGATCCGATTTGAAATTTCAACCAGATACCCGATCGAGTATATGTATATACTCGACCGAATATAGACCAAAATCAGGATTTACTTTTTGTCTTGTGATTTTTGCACCTTCTTTCCACTTTTGGGGTTCACCAACTATCCTTTGAGTGCTGGTAAACCTGTTTGAGCCCAGAATAAACCTAATCTAAACATTTTACAAGAATTTTAACAACTAAACTATTACACCAAAAGTGTGTAATTTCCGAAATGCTAAACTATAAAAAGTAACTAAAAATGCAAACATAAACACGGAAATTACACATGTATCACTACACTATACTACGTATTAGTGTCGTATTGTATCATTATTTTGAGTGCACATCACGACAAAGTGCACGTCAATCATCAACATAAACTAGCACATTCAGCTGAACATCACCCCAAGTGTGGGTAAATAAAGAGTAATCTGAGAAGGATTGCAGAAAGCCATAAGATTTAAAGGCCGTGACAAGTTTAGCAAACCAACACCTGGGAGCTTGTTTTAACCCATAAGAGGACTTAAGAAGTTTACACACCAGATCAAGGCTAGAGGATTTATATCCCGGAGGTAATGTCAAACAAACCTCTCCATTGAGATCACCATGGAGAAAGGCGTTATCACACAGTGACCATCTTTGCAACTGGGGCGAAAGTTTCATCATAATCAAGACCAGCAACATGGCGGTTCCCAAAAATAACCAGGCAAGCTTTAAGCCGTTCCACCGTGCCATCAGACTGATATTTAATTTTATAGACCCAACGACACCCCAAGGCTCGCTTGCTGGGAGGTAGAGGGACAAGAGACCAAGTACCATTTCGTTCAAGAGCTTGGATTTCCGAGTTCATGGCCTCACGCCATCCTACATTCGAGATAGCTTTCTGAAAGGACAGGGGTTCTGCTCCCGAGGTAATTGCTGCAAGAAATACTCGATGTGGTGCAAAAAGTTATCACAACTAACATAATGCGAAATAGGGAAAGGAGTACCTGAGGAAGCCGGAGAGAGAGAAATGGGACTATTTTTAATCACAGTGTGAGTGACATAATCATGCAAGCAAACTGAAGGGTGTTTGATTCTCTGTCCCCGACCCAGAGCAAGAGACGTTTCAGGTTCCTCAGATGACGTAGCAGTTCCCGACCTTGTAGTACTAGTACTGTCTGACGTCGTGACCACTGGAGCAGGGACTGTAGTAGTCTCGGCCGGCAGATCCTCGAAAATTATATCAGAAGAGGTGGCAGCCGGTGAAAACTCATCTAACGGAGGAGGTGTGACACCGCACCCGAACGTCCTTGAAAATTTGATTTTAAAATTCAAAGTTTATGTATTCCCAAACAATTGTAAAACGATTGATGTTTTACGTAATTCATGATCGATTATTATACCGCTCGAACTCGTACATTAGTGTTGGGCTTGAGGATACTCGTTTGGGCCTTATTAATAAATAAAAGATCCAAACATTATCTAAATAATTATACATAACGTTTCAAGACAAGTTGAGGGAGGGCGGGCAGTCCATACATTATTTTGGGCTCAACCCGCTAAAATAGCAAACATTTGAGGACGGCGTCGTAGGCCCACTCGGGGGCGACCCACACGTCTTGTAGCCCAATAATATGAATGACAAATGTCAAAATAAGCGATAGGATGATTAAAGAAGAGTACAAATGCCTATAACCCCATCTTTGGCATTATTGAGCCAAATAATGGGAGTAGGATTTTCCTTCTATATTATCCATCAAGTAAGTTATTGAGATGAGCCTACACATATTGGAGATCAATAATGTTATGTAGGAAGTTGACTTGTTCTAAATAAATTAGGATGAGTCCAAAAAGACATCTTTGACAAAAGATAAAACAATAGGACCCATTCTTCCATTTTTGGATGTATTGATTAATGTTTTGCTCCCAAAAAAATAATGGGGGAACACATGCTGCGCCCCATCCCTTCTTTTCCACCTGCAAGACAAGAAAAATAAGGTTAGGAGGCTGCCATAGTTGACTCTAGGGGCTGGACTTGACAAAGGAAACAAAAGGGAACCCCACCTAGTCTATTTTCGCTGATAAGAGTGGTGCTGGTTGTCTCCCTTCATGAGTGATGTTATACTCGGCCAAATGAGGTGTATAAGGTGTCCTTGGATAGCTTTTGAAGTCTATTTTTATAATTGAGTGGTCTCAGTTCGATAGGAGAGATTAATCATCCAAACATCGATCTGGAACGAGCAGTGGTCTGTGAACTCGAGCTGTGAGAGTGCTGAGACTGTTTGGTTGATATCTCGAGTTTTACCAATCCAATTAAGGCGTGTGAGATACAAAAAGAAAGCTCTCAAGACGAGAAGTCCGTGAAGGTCTGGTTTGCATCAATCGGAGTAGAGGAAGGCTTCCAAATCGTCCGATCAGAACGCGACCTCGCAGGGACGGATTTACTCTTCTAAGTGAGTTGTTAATCCCAAAACCTTTCCATTCATTTTCCAAATGATATGAACGATTTGTGGGACTATTATACACTACTCCAAGTGTATAAAACATCCCTATTAAGTTATTTTATTGATGTAAAGGTTAGATACTAACCTAGATGCAAATATTGGAAAACTAGGAATCGAGTTAGCCGGAAAACACCCGTTCTAGGGGCTGTTTTCGTATCAACGGTTAGGGGTTGAAATAGCAACTTGAGGAGGCTGTTTAGCACCCATTTCTAAGCAAGGAATCAGTCCTCAAGCTTCCTTGGCCGAGGCTTTGGTCATTGGATCGAGAAGGAAAGTTTTAAAGCTCATTTGAGGTGAGGATCGACATCTAGTTGCTTACAACTTGTAGGTTAAGCATGAGATTACCTAAATGCCTAAATAATGTTTTCCATGGATTATGATGATAAATTATTGATGGAATATTGATCTATTTTTCCAAAGAATGAAATGGGAAATGATTTGGTAAAGTATTGATGAAAATGGAGTTAAATGAACTATTGTGTGAAATAGACATTTTACTCATGTGTGAATTGTGTAGATACATAAATGATTATTTATGTATTACATCGAATGATTAAGTTGCTGCTACATATCTCTAAATATGTAGGGTTTTACAAATGGAATATATGATGGATAAGAATAATCTTAATAGTATTGAAATACTAGTTAATGATTGTCGTAATTGTTGAAGAATTGAATCTAAGGATTTGATTGTAATTGATGAACTTGATTGTGAGGCAAGTGACTAAATTGATGTAATGTGATGCTAAGACCATGGTTGGGCAGTCCGTAAGGATGTCCCAAAATAGATTATTGATATTACAATTCTAGGCATAACGAATGCTTAGGAATTGGGGTCTATGCCAATGTAAGGAGATGTACTTGAGACGCGCTCATAGAATTGCATTGGGTAGACATGATGGGGTGATTATTGTGCATGGTGATGTAGTTGAGTTGGACTCAAGAAATGCACGGTGGAGTAGTTAACTCGGGTTAAATAAGGTGCATGGTGATGTAGTCGAGTTGGACTCGAGAATGCAAATATATGTGTTAGGGTTGAACCCTATGTATTGTTGTGACTAGGGGTCACGGGATTTTGGGGTATGTTTGATAAACAAACCTTGGGCCTACGGGCCGACTACTTGACTTTATATATAAAGTAAGTATTTGTAAAAAAGGGGTAACTTGGGGTTACGGCCTAAATTATATTATCACCCTATTTGAGGGTCTTGTGTTTGAAATACTTGTTGTATATCTATTAGATGCCATCCACACCAGCACTTTATAGCCCACCACCATTTTTCAGGTTGAGGCTAGAGCTTGCTTCCTGTGCTCGTTGCTCGAGAGATCATCTAGGAGGGAAGACTTGGTTCGTGCTTCCTCCACTCGTTTTTAAACATTAATAAACATGCTCATGAATATTTTACTATAGAGCCTGCGTGCTCATGTTAGCCACGTGTGGCATTTGTTTTCAAACTATGTTTTCCGCTACGTATTCAATTGCTTATTATGTTGTTTATGGATGGATTACGTGTGAATGATAATCGAGACGCCTTGTATAATATGAATGTGTTGGACTACGGTTGACTATTCGTATTGTACGGCGGGTTGTTGACGTGTCCGGGGAGGTCCGGGGCGTGACAATTAAGTTGGTATCAGAGCCTTAGTCCATAAACTTCATAATGAAGTCTCAAAATTCTCTTTTTGAAAAGATTTTGAAAACCATGAGCATAGAAGTTTTGTACTTGGAGAGCTTTTGGTACTTGGGTTGCAAGGTCTCTAATTGTTAAGATGGTACCCTTAGCAATTGGTATGGCAGTGACTCGAGCCAAAATGTGTCTTAAGTACCTATCCGTCAATTGACATTTGATACGAGTCTAACGACTCCTTCCAAATTTCTTTCAGAAATGGACCGTGGTGGCAGGATTACTAGGAGAAACCCGACCGGCCGTGTACCAGTGGAGACTGGACAGGGCAGTCGAAGGACCTCTAGGGCATCTAGAGGAACTGGCCGTGGAGGCCGATCACAGACCGTGAGTGACGGTCATGTTGACACAGAAAGTGAAACCTACTGGTCCTATGAGGACTCGACTTACCAACCGGAAACCGAGCCGGTTGAGAGCCCTTACGAAGGGGATGACGATGATGTAAGTGATGAAGAGGGGGAGAATGACTCCCTAGCAAGAATTGAGGCGCTGCTCCAACAATATCAACGGGAGCGCGAGGAAAGGAGGGAACGCCGAAGGCGCCGGGGAGGGCGAACTTCGGGGGAGGCTTCAAGAGGAAGAAGCCATGGCGATTCTCGGGCCCACATTGAACCACATGGGGGTCGGGGTGATTGTAAGGAATAAATGTAATTAGATTTTGATGATGCTATAGGATTGGAAAGTTAGAGTACCCCCAAATTAGATTTTATGTATTAGAATTTTCAGTTGTAAGTATTAGTGTAGTCGACGATCAGAGTTGCTCAGTTTTGGATCAGATCAGAAGTGCATCAGAACTGCTCGACCAGACTTGCTCTATGAGAACTGCTCCATCAGAGTTCTCTTAGCAGAAGTCCATCAGAATTGCATCATAAGAGTTGCTGATAAACCTGGACATCTGATAACCGATGAGAACTACAGATCAGAAGTACTCATCAGCGGACCTATCAGAGTCAGAATCAGAGTTCAGTCAGAGATCAGAAAGTCTTCAGAACTCAACTCATCAGAAGGCCATCAGAATCCAATACATCAGAAGAGCCTGATCAGAGCCCGACGAACACTTAGAAGATTTCAAGCAACATCCAACAGATATGAATTCAACGGGTAAAAACATCCAACGGCTAGAAGACTGTGCATGAAAGGAAAGCACTTAATGCACATTAAATGAGCCTGATACGCTGAAGGATTGATTGCAAATAATTGACCAAGGAATCCGGGAAGATATATTATAAAAATAGAAACCTTCCAAAACGGCGGTCAAGTCAACTGTACGCGCATTTAATGCAGTTGTCTCCTCCTCCAACGGGCAGACAACCCCAGTATATAAGCTACTCTCTGAAGATCAGGAAAACAACTTTGCTACAACTTTGCTCATCATTCAAGCTCTCTTGAGATTCAAATTCTACAACCTTCAACAAGACAAGCTTACGTTGGGAAGATTCAAACTCCAAATCTCTCATCCCCAACAAACAAGCAAAGTTCATCCTGTTCTTCAACTCTTCAAGAACTTCATCAAACATCATTTGTGACGAAGCAAGTTGGAGGAAAAACTCTGTTTTTCAAAGGATCTTCTGAAAAGAAGGGCGTCCAAGTAACTGCAGTAGTGAAGTGGTAATACTTCCGGGAAGCTGAGTGAAAGGACCAGCCATCGGGACGTGGAACTGCATCCTGGGTGGCAGCTAGGCTTGAAGAAGGCGTGGAGAACTTCTTAAGTGCTAGGAACTAAGCTTTGTAACCGATCTACTTCAAAGCTAGTGGAACAGTGGACTAGAGGAACGAGTTGTTCCTTGAACCACTATAAAAATATCCGGTGTCATTTACTTTACTGCATTTTTCTTTATTTCTGCGCTTAGGATATTAACTGATTAACTCTAAGACTTGGAATCTGTGTTCAGCAGATCTTGTTTTCAGAGTTATCAGAAAGGCATCTTCCTTAGTATTTTTTTGAGGCTACCCGGACAGATCAGAATCCGCTGCCAAGGCCAGTTCTGATATCAGAACCAGCCTTTCTCTGTCATCAGAATCAGACCTTCTCTGATAAGTCAGTTTTGACTTTGAGAAAAAGTTGAAAAACCAATCAGTCTATTCACCCCCCCCCCTCTAGACTGATTACCATATTTAACGGGACCAACAAGTGGTATCAGAGCCCCCTTGTTCTTGTAATCTTTTAGGTTACTCTCTGAACAAAGATCCACTTGTTCTTGCCTCTATTTATTTGTTATTATGGATAACTCTCTTGCCAAGCATCTGATGTTCACAGATCAGAAGTATGATGATTGGAAGATCAGAATGAAGGCACATCTATGTGCCCTACATGATGAAATGTGGGAAGTCTTGGAGAATGGACCCTTTATCCAGTTCATGAAGATCAATCCTGCTCACTCTATTGATAACTCTCAGCCCCAGATGATTGAGAAAGCCCGGTCAGAATGGACCAAGGAAGAGAAAAGGCAGTACAACCTGGACAATATAGCCAAGGACATCCTTTACAAGGCTATTGATGAAAGATACTTCAACAGAATCAAGAAGTGCAGAACTGCCAAAGAAATCTGGGATAAGCTGGATGAGATTGGAGCAGGAGATGAACAAGAAAGAGATAACAAGTTGACCATTGCTATGAAAAAGTTTGATGATTTCAAACTTCTGCCAGAAGAATGCATTGCTAAGATGCATGAGAGACTGCTGATTCTCATTAGTGAGATTTCTGAGCTTGGGAAGGAGCTCACCATCAAAGAGGTCAACATGAAGATCCTCAGGGGACTGCCTTCAGCCTGGAAGATGAAGGTGATTGCAGTCCAGGAAAGCAAGAACATCAAGACTTATGCCACTGAGAAACTCATCTCTGATCTCAAGGCTTATGAGTTTGAGATGCATGAAGAGAAGGAAGAAGTTCCTGATGAAAGAACCACCACTGCTCTCACTGCAAGTACCTCTAAGGTAAGTGACTTTGACCCTTCTACTCTCTTATCTGATGAATATATGGCTGCCTTTGCCAGAAAGTTTAAGAAGTTTATGAAGAAAGATGGAAGGAGTCCATCTTCCATCAGAAGACCACATCAGAAGACCAAATCTTCTGAAAGCAATGGAGAGTACCTCTGCTACAACTGCAGACAACCTGGGCACTTCAAAGCAAACTGCCCCTATCCAAGAGTGTCCAAGAAGCAAGGACATGAAGAAGAAAAGAAACCAGAAGATCAACACAGAAGAAGAAGAGCATTTGTCTCAGAACAAGCTGAGAGAGATCCACTCTCTGAATCAGAGTCCAGCTCAGACTCCGACTCTGATGAAGCATTCTGCTGCTTGGATGCAGAAACTGAAGACCTCTGCCTCATGGCACAATCAGATGATGAGGTATGCTCTACTTCTGATTCTATTTCCTCTTCGGTAGGCACAGCCTTAAATGATGATCCAATGTCATCATTCTGGGAAGAGTTCCAAACTATCCAAGCCACTTATTCTTTTGTTAAAGAAGAGAACAGTAGGCTGAAAGTTGATATCTCTGATCTAAGGAAAGAGACTGAGTGTAAACTTAATTTCTTAACTGAGGAAAGAGATAGACTGAAAGCTGAAAATGAGTTTCTTCTGAAAAGAATAAGAGACATTGAGGAACTTGAGAATAGATATAATAGTCTTCTGAAGATGCAATCTTCCATGAAGAATATTGGTGACTCTCATAACTTCACCTCTGGTCTTGGATTTGTTGAACCAGAGTCTGGTGAGCCTTCTGTAAGGCCTAGCACCCAAGTTGCTAAGGCTAAAAAGGTCATAGTGCCACAGACTCTGAGCCCCAATTGCCATGCTAGTACTTCTGGTACTAAAGTTGTTCATGAGAAGGTCATACCAGAGAAACAAACTCTAAAGGCTAAACCAAAACAAAGCTTGAAAACTAATGAACCTGGCAGACACTCTAACAAAAGGAAAAGTTTTCAGAACAATAATAATCAAAGGCCTAACCCTATCAGACAATCTCATGACAATGGTATCAGAAACTGCTATCAGAAAGGCAGATATCAAGAGAAGATTAACTATAGGCAGAAGAGGTTGTCTGGTCAGCCTCAGAAGCCTAAAGTTAAGCGCTCCTCTGATCTTGATAGCATATGGGACTTCTTTCCAACCAAGAAGGCTATGCAGAAGTATGCAAACAGAAAGCATGATCCTCACAAGCATCTGCCCAAAGTGAATCATACATCTGTTTACTACAACTACCAGGTGGACAATGGGTACCATCCACCAAGGTTTCAGTTGATGAGACCAAAATGGTACCAACTACCAAGACTGCATTACCCCCCAGGACCCAACATTGCTTGGGTACCTAAATCTTCCTTTTAATCTTGCAGGAACTGTGTGCTGGAGCCATCTCAGAAAAAGAATGGTACATTGACAGTGGATGCTCCAGACACATGACAGGTGACAAGAGTTGCCTATCAGAGTTCCAGAAAATCAATGGACCCAGAGTCACCTTCGGTGGAAATGACAAGGAAGGGCAAACAAAAGGAAGAGGAAAGCTAATCAAGAACCAGATAATCATTGAAGATGTCTCATATGTCAAAGGTCTGAAGTTCAACTTGCTGAGTGCTAGCCAATTCTGTGACAAAGGCTACACAGTTGAATTCACCAAGACCTTATGCTATGTCAAGCATGAGACAACCAAAGAAGTGGTTCTTACAGCCAAAAGAAGGAAGAACATCTATGTTGTTGACTGGCAAACAGCAAAAGATGGAACCTGCCTGATAGCAAAGGACAATTCAAAGCTAAGCTGGGACTGGCACAAGAAGCTTAGCCATCTGAATTTCAAAACCATCAACAAACTGGCAAGGGAACACATTGTAGATGGTCTGCCTGACATTGTCTACAAGAAGGAGACCCTCTGCAGTGCTTGTCAGAAAGGCAAACAAGTGAAGACCTCATTCAAACCCATAGCTGGAGATCTTTCTGCTTGTCCTCTAAATCTGATCCATATGGATTTATTTGGACCAGTTGAAACTCCCAGTGTTGGTGGAAAAAGATACACTCTTGTTATGGTTGATGACTACTCAAGATACACATGGACTGTGTTCCTAACCAAGAAAAATGAAACTCTTCAGAAGTTGCCATCTCTGATAAAGCAACTTCAAACTGAGAAGAATATGAAGGTCAGAACAATCAGATCTGACAGAGGAACTGAATTTGTCAACAAAGTGATCAAGGACTTCTGTGATCAGAATGGCACCTTCCATCAACTTTCTGCTGCCAGAACACCCCAACAAAATGGTGTTGCAGAAAGAAGGAACAGAACACTGAAGGAAGCTGCAAGGACTATGATTGCTGAATCAGGACTACCCATCAGATACTGGGCTGAAGCAATCAACACTGCATGCTACACTCAAAATAGAAGCATGATCCACAAGAATCATCAGAAGACCCCCTACGAGCTGTGGAAAGGAAGGAAGCCAAATATCAGCTATTTCCATGTGTTTGGATGCAAGTGCTACATTCTAAACAATGGAAAGGATAATCTGAAGGTATTTCAAGAAAAAGCTGATGAAGGTGTATTCTTAGGCTATTCAAGCTCAAGCAAAGCCTATAGAGTACTCAACAGGAAAACTATACAAGTTGAAGAATCCATTCATGTCAAGTTTGATGATGGTACCTCTGCAGAAGAATTATCAGAAACTCTGCAGAAGATCAACCTTGAAGACAAGGGCGCAGAACCATCAGAAGAGGCCATCAACAATCCTATATTCTCAACCCCTCCTGCCAATCCAATTCTGATAGACAAAGATGAAGATGAAGAATCAGAAGATGAAACATCAGAGTTGCCTAGACAGCAACTGACAGAACCTGATCTAACTTGGTTAAGAGATCATCCTCCTAATCAAGTAATTGGTCAAGTCACCAGTGGTGTTAGGACCAGATCTGCATCTAGAAGAGAAGCCATGTTCACCTGCTGCATATCCCAGATGGAACCAATGTGTGTGGAAGAAGCTCTAGAAGATTCAGATTGGATCAATGCAATGCAAGAAGAGCTGACACAGTTTGAAAGGAATGAGGTGTGGAAACTTGTTCCCAGACCTAAGCATCAGAATGTCATTGGAACCAAGTGGGTATTCAAGAACAAAGCAGATGAAGAAGGCAACATTGTAAGGAATAAAGCAAGGCTTGTAGCAAAGGGATACTGTCAAGAAGAAGGCATAGATTTTGATGAGACCTTTGCACCTGTTGCCAGACTGGAAGCAATCAGGATATTCCTAGCCTATGCTGCCTACAATGACATCAAAGTCTACCAGATGGATGTCAAGAGTGCATTTCTGAATGGAGAACTTGAAGAGGAAGTCTATGTTGAACAACCTCCAGGTTTTGTCATTCCTACTCAATCTTCTTGTGTCTACAAGCTCAGAAAGGCCCTCTATGGTCTTAAGCAAGCTCCCAGAGCTTGGTATGACACATTGTCCCTATTCTTAGTGAACCATGGGTTTACTAAAGGAAAGGTTGACAAAACTCTATTTCAAATTTCTGTTGCTAATCATATTCTGTTAGTGCAAATTTATGTTGATGATATTATATTTGGAAGCACTAATCCAGAATTATGCAAGAAATTTTCTCAAGTTATGCAGAAGAAGTTTGAAATGAGCATGATGGGAGAACTCAGTTACTTTCTTGGATTACAAGTCAAACAAGTACCAGAAGGCATCTTTATCAACCAAGGAAAGTACACCAGAGATCTCATCAAGAAGTTTGGAGTAGATGGAAAATCTTCAGTCAAGATTCCAATGAATGCATCTCAAGGCATTGGACCAGATGATGAAGGCAAAGATGTTGATGCAACAACTTATAGAGGAATCATTGGATCTCTCCTCTATCTGACTGCAAGCAGACCAGACATAGCTTTTGCAGTAGGAATCTGTGCCAGATATCAATCAAAGCCCAAGGAGAGCCATCTAGTTGCTGCTAAGAAGATTATCAGATATATCAAAGGAAATCCAAACGCAGGACTATGGTATCCCAAGGGAGGTAATTTTGAACTAATTGGTTATTCTGATTCAGATTTTGCAGGTTGCAGATTGGACAGGAAGAGTACTTCTGGTCACTGTCAATTGCTAGGTGGGAGACTTGTCTCCTGGTTTAGCAAGAAGCAGAATTCAATCTC